CGATTATATATATAATTTTCAAATAATTTGTAGAAAAGATTATAATTATTGCAAGGGAGATGAAATATAAATAATCGTGTTTCTGCCTCAATTCTATTGACCATTAGGTCGAACCTTAATAATTATATATAAAATGTTCAAACAACTTTTCCTTTTGAGTTTTTTTAATTTAATAAATTCATTAGTTACGATAATAAATATTATAGTAAAATGCCTTCTACTTCGCAATTTGGCGATAAGACAATTATTTGTTTTTTCCATGTCAAATTAATGTAATTCATGTTTGGAAACCATTTATTTTCATTTTTTTAAAAATAATTAACTGAATCAAAGACTTGTATATATGTAGTAATGTCGTGATATTTGCTTAACATGATTTAATTAAGATTTGGAAATTAACATAAAATCGAACGGAAGCAAGCTAATCAACGGGTTTGGTTCGTTAATAACATGCAAATGGATTATTCGAATAGTTATTTTAATTTTATTCAAACAGGAACTCTGAAAAAGAAACATGCAAGATATATAAAAGAAAAACAAGAACATGGTTTTGTGGATGACGAGGTAAGTAGCCAAACAAACCAGGAAGATGAAGAAGCAGTATGTGTGATTCTGGGGTCTCCATTGTTTCTAATTTAGGCTGGCAATTATCGTAGTTAAGGTTTGATTGCAAGGTGGACATTTCCATCAATTGCCTTTTGTTTGTCTTGCTTGTGTTTCTATATTTCATCAAACTTTGGAAATGCAATTTGTTGGAACTTATTGAATTTGTGGGTTCATATATTTATAGGGAACTTTTCCAGAATTGACCACGTTGGATTTCTGAAGAAAGAAATTATTCCTTTTTGATTTCTTAATAAAAAGGCATGATCAAATTTTCAATTTCCCCTAACTTTCTGAGTATAACTTGTGGGACAAATAAAGTTAAAATTCTTTGTTTGGCTCGTGCACTTTAAACTCTAGCAATGTATTGATATAATATTGACTATTTTTTGGTATGTAGAGGTAGAGATGTGGCAATGGATTTCAAACCACAAAGATAGATACCGAAATAAACTTGAGCGAATTGAAAAATTAAATGTATGATAAGATTTAATATCTATTAAGTAGTGAAATAGATCAATAATTTAATCGGTCAGGACTTACTAGCATACGTACATCTTAATATAGGAGACTTAACATTGATAACTAATTTTTATAACAATTTTTTTTTTTGTTGATGGAGGATTAAAAGTTCACAAAAAAATTCAAAAAGAAATAAAAATTAAATTCTTAAAAAGTTAAAGGATTAAAAATTTATTTAATCCAAAATTAAGGATTAAATATATTTTTAGTTATTAAAATTATTTCAATTTTTTGCTTAATCCTTAAACAAGTATTTATATTGATTTTAATTCTTAAAGTTTCCCTCCATAAACAAAAAAATCTTGATGCCATGATCTAAAACTTAATAAAAATATTAATGGAAGGAAAAGTTCAAGGATCAAAAGTAAAAATTGGCAACACTCAAAGAAGTAAAACTAGTAAAAGAATTATTTAAAAATTAAAAGTGAAAATTGACAAAAGAAAAAGAGAACTAAAAACATATTTAATATTTTTTTGTTATTATGATAATGTGGACATAAAAACCTTATTGATAAGTCATTAGTAAGGTAGAATTACAACACAATATAAAACATAAACAATCTACCAACCTAGGATTATCATGCATGGGAACAATATTTGGATATTTATGTAGTAGATATATGTATAAAGTATAGAAAACATAAACCAGTCCTTGCTTATATCAATTGAAAAACATAAAGCTTCTTATATGGTTACAATAAACTTATACATACATACAAATACATCTAATAAATAAGTATTGAAAACATAAATCCTAACATCAATCAAGCGTCTATATACATGGTGTATCATAATAATTCAACAAAACAAAGTTGTCATCTTAACATAGTTATTCACATAGCATGCCCTCCAACTAAATCTTGGTTTGCTCTCATACTAAGAATGATCATAACAGTTCAATACATGAAAAAACAAGGATAAGCTTGTGAAAGAAAACATCATATCATAAGAAGAAATCAACTTCAGACAATATAAACAACTTTATCATCAAGTTAACTTTTACATCTTAAAACATCATAGCAACTTTCACAGCTCACAACTTAATCAACATAATAACTTTCACAACTTAAGCAACATAACAACTTTAGTTCACTTAGCAACTTAAACAAATTCAAAACTTTTGCATCATTATGCATTTTCAACTTTGAATAGGATGTGACATCCGACTTTAGTTAGGATTTGACACTTGTTTTGTTCACTTTTAGGATAATTGTTAATTTTGTTGAATACTGCCTAAATATGATTTTAATAATGACAAATTTGTACTTCCAAATTTTAGAATAGAAGACTTCTCCTTTGTATGCTAATAATTTTTTTCAAGTGTTTTAACAATATTTAATCTAATAGAAGGTTCTATTAGCTTATGGTTTCTTGAATAGTAAAAGCGATTCACAAGACACTCTTAATGAAGATTCAATTTGGTGGTTTTCTATTAGCATTAAAGACCTGTTTGTCCTAAGCAAGAAGATGATCATCCTTTGTTTCTAAATTTAAAAAGATTCAAGTTAAACATTTCTTCTTAAGAGAAATTTCTTGAAAACCTAGTTCATAAGACCAACACTTTAGTTTGTTTATTAAAAGACTTCAATTAAAACACAACTTTTTAGAAGACTTGTATTGAAGACTTTGTTTAGAAAACTTGTATTGAAGACTCTGTTTAGAAGACTTAAAGTAATGACTTACTTAGAAGACACTCATTTATAGAAAAAGATTGACAAGACTAGAAAAAACAAAGTATAGTGATGTCAACATTTGCTTAAAAACTAAGCAAGCCACAATGGGTCTATTTCAGGTGGCTATAAATGGAAGACAAAGGTCACGTTTTGAAGTAAGTAAGATCAAAGAAAAAGATCAACTACACAAGCTAACAAGTTGAAATCCTTGCTTCATTTAGAGATTTCTAGTTCATCATTTTGAATTAGTCTTGTAATAGATAAAGAAATGTGAAACTTCTTTAGTGGAAGCTCCATTATAGGAGAGTTGACTATCATTATAAGAATTTTGTGGATTAGCGAGGGAATTTAGCGAAGGATATAATTTCAAGCTATTTTCTCGCTAATTAGAGAGGGATTAGAGAGGGACATCCCTCGCTAATTAGCGAGAAAATAGCTTGAAATTATACCCCTTGCTAAATAGTGATTATTTTGCGACCAAGCTTTATCTTCTTACAAATCCTTCGCTAAAGTTAATACTTATCTAGCGAGAAAATTAGGCCCTCGCAAATCCCTTTCCAAATTGTTATCCAAAATTAAAAAATAAATTTTTCATTTGGCGAGGGAGTTTTATCGTTGCAAATCCCTCGCTAATGAGTTATAAGTATAGTCCTCGCAAATTAGGGAGCGAAAGGTTTTTTCGTCAATCCCTTGCAAATAAGAGAATACATTCCTTGCAAAACCCTCGCAAATGTCTTGCAAAATTTTGAGAATAATTCTCTCGCAAATTGCTATTAAATCCCTCACAAATTTAGAGAATAAGTCTCTCACAAATTGCTTTAGGATTATTTTCCTTATCCTCTTATATATATATATATAAATATGAGGGTTATAATAATACCAGTGTAACTTTTACTAAGTATTACACCACTCAATAAATCTATATTAAATGTGAATTTTGTAAATCTAACCGTTAGATTGAAAGTTCATATCACTTTATATGTGTATATCAAATTTTGTTAAAATTGAACAACTTGAAGGTAATCAAAGTGTTCATATTTTAGTATATTTTATTATATCAATTTTTTTTTTATAAGAATGAAGTATCAAATCATATTGGTTTAATATAAAATTTTGTATATATGATCTAAGAGTAAAGAACTTTCAATCTAACGGTTAGATTTACAAAATTCACATTTAATATAGATTTATTGAGTGGTGTAATACTTAGTAAAAGTTACACCCGTGTTATAACCCTCCTCTATATATATATGAGGAGATTATAATAATACCGGTGCAACTTTAATAAGTATTACACCACTTAATAACTTTATATTAAATGCGAATTTTGTAAATCCAACTGTTAGATTGAAAATTCATATCACTTTATATGTTTATATCAAATATTGTTAAAATTGAACAACTTGAAGGTAATCAAAGTGTTCATATTTTAATATATTTTGAAATGTATATATTACGTCAATTTTGTTTTATAAGATTGAAATATTAAATCATCTTAGATTAATATAAAATTTTGTATATATGATTTAAGAATAAAGAACTTTCAATCTAACGGTTGAATTTATAAAATTCATATTTAATATAAAGTTATTGGACGGTGTAATACTTAGTAAAAGGTAGAACAATGTTATTATTGTTAAGTCAGACGAAGAAACTCCCAACAAGGTTTTGAGTGAAACAAATATCATACACTACAAAAAATAAGGTAATTATTGGGGGTTATTTTCTGGCGGTCTCAATAAATCGCCAGAAAATGTTAACTTTATGGTGATCCTCGTCATGAGATGGAACGCCATCTTCATCTGTCGCCAATTCAGGGGTTGGAGGTACATCTCCCTTGAATACCCACTTATCTTCCTGTTTAAGCATCCCCATGTGATGCAAGGAAGATTTCTCAATTTTGTTAGAAGCATGGAGAATTATTTTCTTCTCCCCTGTCAAGTCTACCCCTACATTCTAAAATTTTTTTGACAGCAACAAAGCATACGGAATTGGTCCATCCTCTTTCCGTCTTGCCTTCCATATACAGTCATTTACAACTGATACCCAATCAATCTT